TTTTTTTTTTTTACATACATACCACTGTAGCTCACTGGTAAAGTGCCCCTGGGTTCAATCCTTAGTATATAAAAAAGTGTGTGTATGGGCTGGGGCTGTAGCTCAGGGGCAGAGCACTTGCCTAACATGAGTGAGGCACTGGATTCAATCCTCAGCACCACATAAAAATAAACAAATAAAATAAAAGCATTCTGTCCATCTACAACTACAAAAAAAAATTTTAAATAATAAAGTGTGTGTATATATACACATACACACATACCAGCCTCCTTAGAGAAATAATGAGGGAAATTTTCCACCATTGCTGAATAGCCGATCACCACACGCAGTCACTGCCATGCTACACACACACACACACACACACACACACACACACACACACACACACGAAACTTATTCCCCTTCTGAGGGAAAAAGGAAAAACCATATAGGGTCACATGCAAACTGAGGGGAGGTTTCAGAAAACAAAACCTCCTCAAGGAAGAGTGATTCATAGATCTGGAAACTGTGATGGCCAGCTGGACAGACCCAGGCAGGCAGCGATGCCCGCCAGTGAAAACCAGGGCAGGAGACAGACGCAAGGAAGTGGGAAAGCTCCGAGGCGTCGCCTGTGCTCTTTCCTTTGAGCCCTATTAGTCAAGATCTTCATCAATCTCCTATCAGAAAGCTTGGAGTCTTCCCTCCCAATTTACAGAAGGAATAATTGATAACTGGGTGGAAGAAGAGGCCCAATGTCCTGGACCCCAGAGAGCACACTCCTCTGCTGGCCCCACACAAGCCCCTACCCACCAATGTGGGGTTTTGAAAGTAAAGGACTCTCAGAGGCAAAGGCTGGCAGTGTGCATCAGGAGCAGAAGGGGACCTCCTGTCTAGATAGCCAGCGCCTGAGCTATGTGGCTTTCTGGACCCTCCCCTTCCTAGTCCGCTCCCTGATCTTTCATGTGGTCTGGCTCTGTGATCCCAGGGTGGGGCAGCCTAGACCCAGATTGAGATTCTGCCTTATTTCCTTGGTCCTATTCCCAGCTCCACCTCTTGCTCTGTAGAGAGGGCAGTACGGGATGTGCCAAGATGCTCCCGTACTGGGAGGAATCAAGGTCCTCCTGGGTCCCTCACTTCATGCTCCCATGTTCATAGCTCTAGGATAAAGGTTGGCATCTGCTCTCTGCCCGCCTCCCCCCTCCCCTGGCCCAAGCATACTCCTGCTGGAAGAGCCTGTCACTGCCATCTCTGCCTGTCATGAAGTGTGTCTCTCCAAGTTGCCCATGGCTGGGCACAGTGCCCAGAATGATGTTTCGAAGGCCTGACCCAGCCAGAGCAGACTCCTTGTTATTCCCAAGACCCCCCTCTGTTTTTTAAAGAGGAGGGTCCCGGCTGGGGATGTGGCTCAAGCGGTAGCGCGCTC